GGCCGGGCAGTTCCGGCGGTGCCGGGGGGCGGTGCTGAAGCTGCACTGAGGATGCTGGAGGCGCCGCTCGGAGAAACAGTGCCCCCCGGACCGGGCAGGGGTGTCTGGGCCATCCCCTGCTCAAGGCAGGATCGTCCCTGGTTCAACCCTCCGCCTAGTGTCTGTCCAACCTGCTGCGGCTCGGGAAAGCTCCCAGCGATAGAGGCCCTGCAGCTTCTCCGGGCGAGCGAGTTCTTCCTCTGCGGCTGCTTCCTGTGCTGCAGCGAGAGGCTGTTGCTGTCCGGTGAACCCCGCTTCTGCCCGTCTTGTGGGCTGAGGCCCGCGTGTGCTTGACTCCCCCGCATGTGTCGGAAGGGGCTTCGCATCTGCGGTCACTGCTGCGCGTGTATTTCCAGCATCAGCCTCGCGGGGCAGGTTCCGGGTGCGGTGCCTGTCACAGCGGGGCCTTGCAGTCGGTGCCGGACTATGCTATGCTGAGGCCCTAACCTACAACAAAAATAATCTATGTTATTTATGCACAAATTTATGAACTCAATATGAATGTGAATAACAACTGTGGAGCCATACACCGTGGCAATGCATTTCCCCGTATCTCGTTTATTTACCAACTGATTATTATAAAACTTGATATTTATTGAGTCTTTTTTTTTTTTAGAGGCCCCTCATATTGTGAGGCCCTAAAATGTAGTTTAAGTAGCTTAAGCCTAAATCTGGCACTGTTTGCAGTCTACTGGCAAGCAAGCTCACTGCAGGCTCTCAGCCAGAACTCAATCACGGGACTCCTCCTGGGGCCGCAACAGCTGCAGTGGGTCCAGATCTGGGGCCAGTAGTGCTGGTCTTGGCAGAGGACCAGAAGCAGGTGACAGAGTGGGTGGGGGAGCAGGCAGTGGCACAGATCCAGGGGTAGACAGCCACAGGACAAGCAAGGCTGTAGCTCCACAGCTTGCTTGCCACCCTGCCACTGCTGGCCATGTCCATGGGGGCCCAGGCACCCCAAATTCTGTGGCAGGCTGTACTCCAGAGTCCACACCCTGCAATTTCCAGTAGCCCGCTGGACTACTGGCAAGTCAAGTGGAATGGTTCTGCAGATCAGATCTAGACCATGGCTGTATGTTTGGCATCCTTGCACTATAGCAGGGGTAGGCAACTCCCAGCACTCATACCAGTATAGCACTTGAAGGCATTTTGCTTGGCACATGCGCCTCAGAGCAGACAGCAGGAAAGGGGCCAAGGCTGCACTGCCACAACAAAGATCAGGCCTCTTGCGGCTGCCCCAACATCTGCCCCAGCATGCCAGCATCTTACAAGTTGAGGTCACAGGTGTTTTTGGCACTCTGCCCAAAAAAGTTGCTGACCCCTGCACCATAGAAATATGAATACACATAACAGAGAGAACAACATCCCATGTTGCAATATATTTACATACTGTGCATTGCTTCTTAGACCCAGACCCTGCAGACTTGTGTGTTTTCATGAGTCATCCATTTAAGGATCTTTTTTGCATTTCTGGAAAGAACTACTATTAAAGATTCAAAATATCTTTGGGGAAAGTTATTCTTTGGGGAAGAGTTATTTCATTATCAAAGGCCTGAGACTTTATTCAGTACTTTGACCAATGGTTCCATAGTTATTAAGGAGACACTTGCAAGCTTGGCTTCCTCAAAGAAACTACTTTTCTTTGAAGTAATCTGCAACCAAAAGATGCAGGACTGCTATTATGCCACACAATAGCAAGGGCCAGAGCTGCTAAAATGGCATTCAGGCCCCAAACAGATTTTCTCTAGATCCTGCTACCTGTGAGTGGTTGTCTCACACAGATTCACAGAAGTTTAGGGCTGGAAGAGACCTCATGAGATCATCAGGTCCAGCCCCCCTGCTCTGGACAGGAAAGACTGCTGGGGTCAAGTAACCCCAGTAAGGTGTGCTCCACTATCTATATTTCATAAGGGTCCAACGTAATCTTATTTCAAAATACTTCATATGCCATGGTGCCAAAGATTTCCCCAAATACAGAACAATGGATTAATTTCTCTGTTATCCCCTTCCTCTTTGGTCAGAGTACTGGCAGAGAATTTCTAGGTTGCTGGTATTGAGAGCTGGCAAAGGTAGAACTTACTGCTACTTATTTTCATTCTTGCCTCTGGCATTCTGCACAAAGATGAGTATATAGGCTGTAAAGCAAGGCCTGTATGACTCAGAGCCCTGACAACGAATCACAGAATGGTGTCCTTAAATTTACTACCCTGCCCGAATTCCTACCAAATTAAGAGAGACCAAGACCAGTTACCATTCAGTTCAGTAACATGTATAAACTAAGTTCAAATTCAGCTCCAATTAAAAGAGTGGTCACACCACATAAACTACCCCAAAATGGGGCACTAAGTTACACCTTTCATTGTATAAAAAAAAATTAAGACTGGATGCATTTTGGTGACCGCATGACTAACTTCTCTTGTGGGAGTCCCTTCAGGTCAGAGCTGATGCAATTTGGGTTTTCAGGTATGGAGTATGCTAGTAAAGACACTATCTAAACTCTTCCTCTGTAGAATTAAGACAAGATTTTGATTACAAGCAGAAAAGGTATTTAAGGAAAATTTAAAGACTAAAAACTTTTTTTTTTGTTTTTAGAGATTATAAAGAGAGTGCAGGCACTAACATTTAACAAGTCTATGTAAATTCTCTTATCTGTAAAATTCATGCCAGACGTTACATAAATGCAATTTGCACCATAGGCAAAGGTAAAGTACACATCAGATTATCAGTTCATTAGAGTATTGTAGGTGTCTCATTTTTACTCTGCATGGTAGGAGGCATATTATTCTGCTTGGTATTGAGTTACTGCAAGCCTGTGAGAAGTAACCACATATATGTGGTCAATGGGAAGAAGGCTAATCCTACATACACTACATGCAAGGGACCCAAGCCATACAACTTTGTATTATTAGACATTACAAATGCATCTTTTTGGGGAGTTGTGGGTGCCTCTTCCAAATGAAGAATGCTTAATATAGTCACATGACATGGGCCTTGGGATAATTTTGTAATTGCAGAACATACAAAAATCAGAAGATTCAGGAAAAGGAACCAGGAAAAAATGAGCTGACAGTTATCACAGGGTTATTCACGGTGGCTTTTGTTCTTAGCTGTATAGCAAGAAATCCAAAGGCTGGTACAGTACCTCTTCCCTTCCTTCCCATCCACCCAC